GGCTGCTTTTAACATCTCTTATGATACATTATCTCATTTAATTTTCTCAACTCTTGAAGAGGTTAGTATCTTACCTCACTTAGGCTTAGGCTCAGTGGGTTTAAGACTGCCCCAGGACCGGGGACTGGGGTGCCTGAGGCATTCGCCCGGGGTCGCGCCGGTCCTTTCTGTGGTTGCCTTCCCAGGTCCAGCCACATCCCCGGTCCAGCCACCTGGGGCTCAGACGAGGATGGCCTCCCTGGCTCTTGGCACCTCGCAGTCTCTAAAACATTTCCCCTCCGCTACGGAAGGTGGGAGACAGCTATAATCTCCATTTGATAGAAGAGGAAAATGAGCGTGTTTAGCAAGACCCACTTTGCCGCCATTGTCCTGGTGAATAGTGTGAATTCAGGGGCTCATCACCACTACTCCACGGTGTTTCCCAACAAGCCGCTGGCCGTGTGTGTGTGTGTGTGTGTGTGTGTGTGTGTGTGTACGAGTACCTGCCACGCCTGTGCTGATCTGTGGCCCGACGCCAAACCCTTCTAAACTGCAAAGGCCAGGTTCCTGGTGTCAGCCCTGCCTCTCCTCTCCTCTGAGAAACCTGTTTGCCAGGATACGTGGTGCTGGTGCAGCTGCTTTGGCAGCTCCGAGCCTGGGTCGTCCCCGCCTGGCCCCGGGGTCCTGGCGAGCCCTGAGCCTACAGCCCAGAACCAGCTTTATTCCCAGGATCCACACCTGGTAGCAAGGACAGACACTTCTCATGAGAAGCCACAGGCCCTGGGCAGGAGTGAGCCTACAGGGTCTCCCCACCACATCCCCAGGGGAGGCGCCGGGTCATCCAGTTCTTGACTTGAACCATCGGCTCTGTCAGCCAGGGCCGCACCAGGCCGGGCAGCTGCTGAGACACCGGCGCCAGGAGATGCTGTCCTGGCCGGGCTGCACAGGTAGGGTCGGCCGCACCTGGCAGGGATGGGGTTCCTGTGACTGGAGCATAGCTCTCTTCCCTTTCTGCTCTTTTCTCCACCCACCATCTTTCAGTGTCTTATCTAGGAATATTTTTCTCTTGGAAGTCAGCATCCAGCTTCCTTCCCATGGCAGGACCAGGAGCTGAGCATTCCGGGTGCCTCAGCCCTCTGGCCTCCTCAGATGTTGTGGCTTCTTCCCGGCAGAGGCCTTCCTCTGAGGCCAGCTCAATCCCAGGGAACGGAATGGGGAACTCTGTATTCTTGGGGAAGGGTGCCCCTGGAGTTGTGTAACTGGCCGGCCCTGAAAAAGGCCTAGAGAGTGCTCATGAGTGATAGGGAGCAATGAGAGGGAATTGTGTTTGGATTTGAGTTGCAAAAAGCACAAATACATGCAGCAGAGGGCTAGAGCATCAGCAAAGCTGAGTGGGGAGTCAGGGAAGAAGCGCGGCTGAGGGCTTGAGAGTCAGGAAGGAGCTGAGAAGATCTCTGGCACCCAGACCCCAGTGGGGGGCTATTCCCAGTCCAGCCTGTTGGCTCCCTGCTCAGAGCTCCCAGGAGAAGGAGCAAAACGGAGGTTCTCTCCCTGGAGACACAGGGCTGGGAGGAGAGGCCGGAGTGACGAGGCACAGCCTCTAGGGGGCGTCCGTGGGACTGTGACCCAAACAAGTCATGGATCTGGCAGGCACCACTGGCAGGAAGTTCTCAGCCAGAAGATTAGCGGAGAGCAGTTTTTCAGGAAGAACCTGCAGGTGGCCAGGGCGAGGCCAGCCAGAGGCACACAGAGCCTGGCTCATCGCAGGGCGCCAGGAGCCACCTTTCTGGCAGCCGCCTCAAAGGGGGTTTCCCTGCCCCCACACCCGAAACTCTGATCCCTGGCGAGGATTCCAGCGCCCTCTCTGTATCACTAGCATTTCATGCTCAAGCTCTCACGATCGGTGCTTCCTTCCGTGGCCAGAGGCCTCCCAGCCCACTTGACCAGGATGCGGTGTCAGTGCATTGGTGTCAGAGAAGCCAAGGCAAGCTTCTCACTCGTGGCTCCGTGGCTCCGTGGTGGAGAGACACTTGGAGTGGTGACTGAGGGGAAGGGCCACAGAGGGTGGGCTGCAACCATGGAGGATCCCAGGAACTGGCTTCATGGTGGGGGCGAGGTCCTGGGGGTAAGGTCTGCACCCCTCCAGCTTGTGAGAACAGCGAGGCACTCATCTCCACCTAAACTAAATTCCCCATTTTTTTCTTTCTTTCTTTTTTGAGATAGAATTGCATCACCTGCACTATCGTTCCAGCTTCCTCATTCCATCCAAACCCATGCTGGCTCAAGAGGGATTTTCTAAAATGCCAGTCTTGCATCACACCCCTCCCCCCACTTCTTCTCACACCCGGTGCTTTGCCTGCAGACTGCAGGCTCCAGGCCCAACACCACAAGCCCTGAATACCTCACACCTGTCACAGTCCTCTCCAGGCCCCACTGTGCCTTCTGCCTGGGGCAACATCTGCCCCACCCACCCGCACACGCTAAGCTTTGATTTTGCCCCAAATACTCTCAAATACCTACGTCCCCATCCTTGAGGGGCTCACAAGTCAGGAGACACACCCCACATCAATGGGCGCTTTCAAGGAGGCAAGTGGGGAAGCACACTGGTCATTCCTGGCTGAGGGCTGGAAAGAGGGGGTGCCATCAAACAGGTCCCCCCCTTTGCATTTCCCCCTTCCCCACAGCAGCACAATGAAGCAGCCACAAAGAAGTGCAAACTCTGGGACATGTGAACGGGTTGCCAAAGAAAAAGGTATCCGTGGAACAAGCTGGTCACTGTGGCCTTTGTGGGGAAGTTTGCGGGCTGCTCTCCAGGGGCCTTGGGGATGGCTGGGTGAGCAGAGCAGTGGAGTCTGGGGAGAGGGAGGGCAAACACCATAGTGAGGATGGGGAGATGGGAGAGGCAAGTTGTCCACAGGGACTGACATGTGGGGTGCTGACGCCGGAAGACAAGGTCATGAGGCCAGTGGGATTAGCTGACCCCAGGATTCCAAGCAGAATTGAGGGCACAGCTAAAACCCAAGGGAGACACAGCCTAGGGAGACCAGAAGGAATGGGCCTGCTCCTCCATTTCCTGTGAACCATTCTGGGAATAAGGAGGATGCAGAAAGCATGATCCTAAAAGCAACGTTTCAGGCAACTAACTGCAGCAGCTTGCCCAGTGGGCTGTTGTTATCCCATTGACCTAGACTACAACTCAGGCAATTTCCTAATTCTAATTAAGCCACCGAGATCCCTGTTGCCACTTTGAGTCTGAAAACACAATCTGGGTGGAGGTGTTATTCAGAAAGCATAATTCCCAGCACCATATGCGGTGCTTTTCAGCAAATGTAGGGCGGCCTGCTGGCTGCACGGCCTGCCCACTTCAGGAAGGCAGCTCTTGCCTGGCTCTCGCTGCCTCGACTCTGTAGTGTAGAGTTGGCAGAATCGTCATTGACTAGAAGCTACTGTCTCATGGGCCTGCACAAGCTGTAGGCTCATCTTCCCCAGGGGCCTCTCCCGGGGCCCTTAGGATTCCCTCAGCTGGGGAAGCTCCCCTGCCCACTCTTGCCTCAGTGTCGCATCCCTGACACAGTCTGCACGAAGCTGATGGTTCCCTTTTGGGTTCTGTCCGCATCTGGCAGCCTCCTTCCGGCTGGTGAGCGGTTTCCAACTTGCTGTAAACCGGGTCACAAATAGCAAAGCTCTGGGCAAAGCAGCGGTAAGCCTCGGGCTCAGCCACATGCCAGAGGCTGGCTCTGCACACAGGTTACATCTATCTGGCTGCCTTGTGGTACCTTCCTGGGCTCTGCAGGGCTCCAGGTTGCTAGGCTGCCTGGCTCACTAACAACTGGTCTCAGGTGCGTCTGAGGCTGGCTGCTGTGGGCCCAGGCCCGCCGGCTTGAGACAAGGTAAAATGCTCAGGGCTGGAGCCCAGCCTGGGGCCTTTGAAGATGGGGGTGGGGGGGGCAGGGCATGCGGCCACAGAACCCTGAGGTCCCAGTGGGTCCTTCGGGGGAGGATGAGGGGACCAGCTCTCCCTGCACCGTGAGGTGGGCGGGGTACAGGCCACAGTGAGAGATTACAGGTGCAGCCACTTAGCAGCCTGCTCTCAGTCTGCTGTTCGGTGAGGCGTGAGAGCCTTGGGGTCCCGGGCACCAATTGCCTTGCCTGGACCCAGGGTTCCCCACGTGCCCCTCAGGACTATTCACTTATTGTGGCACAGGGACGGAATGTGGGCCCAGAAGACGGAGCTTCTGCTTCAGCCCCGTTACGGCCGGCGCCTCTGCTTATTTGGATTCATTCATGTTTCTTCCTGGGTCTCAGTTCCTACACTATCATAAAGAGGAAAGCCTACCTGGGCACCTGGGCGGCTTGGCACAGACGCACGTGGCACTTGGCGGGGCTGCCACGTGAGGGCACACAGGCTTTCCCCGCTCACCCCGTGTCCCTCCCGCTGGGCCTGAGGAAAACTGCGTGGGACTCACCGGCAAGAAACCTGGACTCTAGACCCGGGTCCAACTTCACTTCCCGGTGTGACCATTTCCTCCCTGGGCCTCAGTTTCCCCTCCACAGAAGCAGGACTTTGAACTCCTGGCTCCGGAGCCCCTTCCAGCTGCAGGACCTCAAGCCCCCGCCTTCCTCCTCCTCCTCCGGGCCCTCTCTGCAGTGGGAGAGCGCGTATCTGAGCGTGTGACGTGTGTACATGTGTGGCACTGACAGGGTGTGTGCTGTGAACACTGCGCATGCGTGTAGCTGTGCATGGATGTGGGTGGTGTGTTTGTTCATGCTTGTGTGAGTCCACATGTGTGTGGTGTGTGTGCATGTGTGCTTGCTGTGAGGGCAGGCAAAGGGAGAGTCTCCTGAGGTTGGGATGACAATTAGGAGGAAAGGGGGCAAGGACATTTCATGCCAGTGGGGCCCAGAGCTTTCTCAGCAGCTGAGTGCACTCAGGGCTGTTTAATCATTAAAGGAAAAGAATAGAGTCAGGAGCGCCTCAAAGTCCAGCTGGTGGTGATTGACCGAAGCAGAGGCGCGTGGAGATGGCAGCGATGGGGCTGGGAGCTTCGGCAGCCGGGGCCAGGACTGTGGCCCCTCCACACCCAGCCCTGGACCCTGGAGCCAGCCTGCATGCCTACGACATCGGGGTCCTGGTCGTCTACTTCGTCTTCGTCATCGCTGTGGGGATCTGGGTGAGTAAGCCTGGTGGTTGGGCCCAGCAGGGGAAGCAAATGAAGCTGCTGTCTCAGGCTGGTGGTGGAGCTGGAGGAAGGGGTGAGCCTTCTGGGAACAGCGTGAAGGTGGATGGAGGAAGTGCAGGGCCGAGACGAAGGGCCTTCAGGAGCCATCTGCTCTCTCCACTCCTCCCTTTATAAGACAGACAAGGCTCAGAGAGGGGTGTGGCTTGTCTGAGGTCACACAGGAAACCAGGGCTGAGCCCATCTCTAGTTATCTGCCACCTTTGGCCCCATTCACCCTTGGCTGCCTTCGTCTCATGCCAAGATCCCCAATTCTGTGAATGCTTGAGCCTGGCCCTGCCTTCCACTTTTTCGAGTCTGCGCAAGGAGCGCTGCTTTCCAAAGAAACTGGGGCTGGTGTGCCCATAGGGAGAAGCCGGTGCACCCTGAGGCCCTTTGCTCTCTTGTGTTCTCCGAGTCTCCTAGACTGAGGCCAGCCATTACGTCAGGGAGCCCTGACTCCAAGTCTGCCAGCCGAGCAGACTGGCCCTGGGGCACATGTGAAGCCTCTCTCAGCCTGTTTTCTCACGTGGACAGGGAGGTGAAAAATGACAGCAAACAGAGGTCATGGCCGTGGAAGGACAGGATGCATTTGGCGTCTGGCCCAGGGCCCGGCACACAGCCAGCAGCAGTTGCTGGCTGCCATTATCACAGCAGCGTCCATCCGAGGGAAATCCCAGCACCTTTAGACTCCACTGTGGGGCAGATGATGGCTCAAGGCCCAACTGGTCATTCACCAGGCTGTGCAAGAAGAGAGGCTCTCTGGCCTCAGTTTCCTTGCCTGTAAAGTGGGGTGAACAGTCCCGCGTCCCAGAGCTAGTAGGAGGAGGAAATGGGGACATCTCCCCAGCAACTTTGTACAAGCTGCTCATCGACTCTGTGTCTTGGCTCCTCCCTGAGGACTAGAGGTGACCCCAGCAACCAAGAAAATTCTTCACCAGCACCAGGCCCAGCACACACTGCCGACCAGACAAGTTAGTTCCTGTGGGGGAAGAGGAACAACCTTGGTGGCTTAGCCATGTCTCTGTGTTCTCCATCACTGTTAGTCTCCCCCTCTCCTTCCCCCCCAGCAGGTCCTGTCTCCAAACCTGATCAGACCTGCTGGCTGCAGTATCTTAAGGGCTTCAAGTTGTTGCTTCCCTCCCCAGTGCCCTTCACCCCCCAACCCCACATTGTCAGAGAAATCTGCACCTCCCACTCCCCTTTCGTTCTGCAAATCAATTCCCCAAACAGGCCACTAACTGCCCACCTGCCAGGGCAGGACGGAGGCCTGTTCGAGAGTCGTAGGTGAGCCCGAGCAGTGTGAGGCACCCCCAGACAGTGACCTACCTCCGTAGAGGCCCAAGTCCCACCCACCCTCAGAATGGCAGTTTTCAGCGCTGCAGGTGGGACAGAGTAGCCTCCCCTCAGCCACGGCTGCCTGACTTGGAGAAGCCACATCTCTTCCTGGAGCGAAGTTGGGGCAGAGAGGAGGCTGAGGGGACAACAGTGCACCCACACTGCTCTGTGCCATCATGGAAGCGGCTTTTCTACCTTCAGCTCCGTGGGGCTTCACGCCAGACCCGGGAGAGCAGCGGGCAGGCTCAGGGAAAGGAGCCTCCTGGAGCAGATGCTCGGCCTAAAGGCTGGGAAATGCCCGCGCTCGCTCCTGCCCCGATCCCCGAGGCGATGCCTGTGCCTGGTGGCTGGAGTCTGGGTGAGGCCACAGATTGCAGAGGCTGGAAAGTCCTCAGCTTCCACTTTTTTCCTTTCCAGTCTTCCATCCGCGCAAGCCGGGGCACCATCGGCGGCTACTTCCTGGCAGGGAAGTCCATGAGCTGGTGGCCGGTGAGTTGACCGTGCTCCTTCCTCTCCTCCCACTGTCTCTTCTCTCATCTTATCCAAGGCACAGCACCCCAAGTGGGCTCTTTTTCTCCAACCAAATGTACCCCATGTCTTGAGAGAGCTTGCTAATCAGACAAGTTCCATGGGCATCTCTGGCGTGTGGGTGCTAGGATGGACGATGGACTGACAGAACATCCAGAGTGCTCCTGTCCTAGAGGAGATCAGAGCTGAGCCGATCAGACATCCTCATAAGCAATATGGTAGGTCAAGGCTGCAGGGAGCCCCCCACCTTCAGACAGCGGAAAGGAGACTAGGGAAGGAACCCGGAAGCTTAAGACTGCCCAGCAGTGAAATGAGAGGAATCATAGAGGAAAAGTCCCACTGCCTCAGGAGCTGAAAATGGGAACCTCTGTGAACCTCAGTCTCTCCCATCTGGATGCCCCACATTTCTCTTGGTCCTGCAAACCGACTTCCCTCTTCTGCAGTAGGAAGAAGGGATGTAAACTCGTCTGCAGGCCAGCTCTAGGGCCGTGATGAGGGCTGGGTGCGTTAACACATTTAGAACCCGCCTGGCCCCTGGTGATGCTGAGGGCCAATTGCCTTGATGGTGGTCACCCCCCACTCCACCCCTTTGCAGAGTCTTACTGCCTCCGAGTAGTGTGCTGGCCTGCTGGAGAACAATTAACTGAGCTCCAAGCCTGGCCAGGCTGCTAAGCCCTGAGCTCCGGCCTCTGCACAGCCTCGTCCTGGGCCTACAGGAACCGGGAAGAGGAACTTTCCACCCCTCTGGTGGATCCCAGCATGGATGACCCAGCGCAGCTCTGGGCGCTGTCCAGGGATTTCCTGCCCCTCTCACGTTTCCACTCACTCCTGGAGGGCCTGTGGCCAAATGTTTCATTTGTCTGAACATTAGTTCCATCCTCTGTAAAGAGAAAAGATTAAACCTAAGGCTCCAAACATCTGTGGAGATGCATTCATGTATTTGAGTGCTTAGCACATGGGCCGGTACAGAGGTTTCCAAGTGTCCATTCTATCTCTCGGTGGCCTCCCTTCCTCTTCTCTTCCTCTTCTCAGATCTGCTGAGTCCAGACCCTGCTCCCTGCCTCCTTCTCATTCCTAAGTGCATGGTCTTGACCCCAGATTCATCAGTTTGAAACTGACTCCCAACCTTTGACCCCATTCTGCCTTGCAGATTGGAGCATCTCTGATGTCCAGCAACGTGGGCAGTGGCTTGTTCATGGGCCTGGCTGGGACAGGAGCTGCTGGAGGCCTTGCTGTGGGTGGCTTTGAGTGGAACGTAAGCTGGGGATCCAGCCCCCACCCCCTTTGCTTGCCTTAGAGCTGAGCAGATCCTCACAGGTGCTTGGGGAGGACAACTGAGATTCCGTTCTACAGATGAGGAGGCCAAGGCCGGAGGAGGCAGGGGCTGTCATCAGCAGTCACCAGGTCCCAGGGACCTGCTCACCTCCCTCCTCAGGACTCCCACAGCCCAGCCTCCTGGTGGGGGGTGGTGGGGGTGGTCTGGCCCTCCATCTGTACCTGACACAGAGCTGTCTTCTCCCCCTCTCCCAGGCAACCTGGTTGCTCCTTGCTCTCGGCTGGATCTTTGTCCCTGTTTACATCGCAGCTGGGGTGGTCACCATGCCTCAGTACTTGCAGAAGAGATTCGGGGGCCAGAGGATCCAGGTGTACATGTCTGTCCTGTCTCTCATCCTCTATATCTTCACCAAGATTTCAGTGAGTTCCACCAAATATAGCATAGCTGCTTGTGGGTGAATGGATGGAAGGATGGGTGGGTGGGTGGGTGTGCAGGCAGGAGAAAGGAAGGATGAGTCCTCATCCCTTCAACACATGCTCCCCTCAACAGTGGAGTACCCAGAGATGAATAATGCTCATTGAAAGAGTGACAATCCCTCCATGCAAAGAACGCAAAAGCCAGAGTTCATTCAGCATTTTCCATAAATGGTTCTCATTCAGCACCATGTACTAACTGTCTGGAATGTTATGGCTACAAAGATCCTTATTCTTCCTTTATTGACCTAAACTCTAGATGAGTCAGTCATTTGCCTGTGTCCACAAGAAGGCAGTCCTGGGACTACAGCTCAGGCCCTAAGGCCACGCAGTAGCCCCCGTGACGAGCTCACCAGTTATGAACGATCACACGCATGCCCTGTAGGAGCTGAAGTTGCCAGGTGAAGGGTTGGAAAAACTCTGCTACCTCATGTCCCACCCATGCCTAGAAACAACAGTAAGTCAGTGAGGCAAAGGTTGACCCCCACAAGGCCTCTAATATATGCAAACACCTGGATTCTCCAGGCCCAGGGGTTTTGCTCTGGACTGCTGCACCACCAGCTTAGCCAGGGACCCATCTGGCTGGTGTGGTCTGAGCTTCCTCAGGGGCAAGCAGGAGCCCACCAGAACATGTTCTGGTCTCTTCTCCGACCCCAGGTCCCTGCTTCCCTGCCTCATCTTTCACCCCATTCCCTCATGCTCCCCCATGCTCTCAGCTCTACCAGATAGAGCCGACAGCACCCAGGGCTGCTACACAGGAGGGAGATGCTCTCTGGTGGCCTCGGGTGACCTGGCCTCCCGGGCCCTGGCTCTCTGCAGACTGACATCTTTTCTGGAGCTCTCTTCATCCAGATGGCCCTGGGCTGGAACCTGTATGTCTCCACAGTGACCTTGCTGGTGGTGACAGCCGTGTACACCATCACAGGTAGGGCGAGGGAAGGGGATGTTGGGTACAGCCCGGGAGCAGAGACTGGGGGACACGGAGAGGGGGACAGAGACTCTCACTGCAGAGATGCACGGGACTGCAGGGCTGGACAAGAGAGATGTCCAGAGATGGACAGAGAGAAGACTGACCCTGAGAGAGAAGACAAGAAACAGGCAGAAACAAAAAGAGCAGCGGAGATGCCGGGTCCAAGGAAAGTCAGAAAAGGGAGACAGGAGGGCAGGAACAGGAAGAGTCAGAGCTGGAGCGAGACAGGAAAGGAGAGGCCCGGAGAGGGTGAGGGTAACACGGAGCAGGCCTGCGACAGGGCTGCCAGTCGGACCCGAGGCACTGGGGCGTCTCCAGACAGCCGGAAGCTGCTTGTGGGTCTCCACCAGATGCCACACACGGGCCTGGTACTGGGAGGCACCAGACGTCAGGGCAGAGTCGTCATGGCTGTCGGCCCGGAGGGATGCGGGACTTAACCGGGCTTTGGATGGGGAAGGCGGGCGCCCCCTGCTGGATCTATAGCAAGAGCTCAAACGAACTGTGAGCTGGCAGCCCGCCAGAGGCCTTCAGCATGGACCGGGCTGGACTGGGTGCTGGACCTGAGCCGCCCCACCCTGCTGGATGGAGCCCGCCTGTCTTCACTGGTCTCCCCAGCCTGACCAAGCACAGGGGGGCACCCAGACAGAAAGCCCCTGCCGGCAGGCTGGGGACTGATGAGCCCTCTCCTTGGCCCCCAGGGGGCCTGACGGCCGTCATCTACACAGATGCTCTGCAGACGTTGATCATGGTGGGGGGAGCCCTGGTCCTCATGTTTCTGGGTAAGGAGAAGCCTGGATTGTATCCCACCCTCTCGCCTAAATTTCTCTCTGGTCTCTTTGGCTGACACCTCTATGGTCTGAGTGGGACTTTCCAGAGAGCAGAACCCCTTCCAGGCTAGGCTCCCAAAGTGCAGGATTCTGTTTGCTTCAAACCATCCTGAGCCCCATGCTCAAGTCTCACACCAGTCACAAGCCCAGGGACCCCAATCAGGACTGGGAGGTGCAGGGCATGGGGTGCTGGAACATGACAGGCCCATGTTTCACTCACGGCGGTCTCTCCCTCAGGTTTTCAGGAGGTGGGCTGGTTCCCAGGCCTGGAGCAGCGGTACAGGCAGGCCATCCCGAGTGTCACAGTCCCCAACACCACCTGCCACCTCCCCAGGGCTGACGCCTTCCACATGTTCCGGGACCCCGTGAGCGGGGACATCCCCTGGCCGGGGCTCATCTTTGGGCTCACGGTGCTGGCCACGTGGTGCTGGTGCACTGACCAGGTGATGCCCCAGCCAGGCTTGGCTCGTCCATTGCAAAGTGCCGGGTGGGGGTCCCCCCCTGAAACTGGGCCCCTGGATCCATGGAGCCTGGGGGGGCTCCCGTTGGGCAGTGAGCGGAGCTGACTCCCCACCCCCCTCCCTTCAGGTCATCGTGCAGAGGTCTCTCTCCGCCAAGAGTCTGTCCCACGCCAAGGGAGGCTCCGTGCTGGGGGGCTACCTCAAGCTCCTGCCCATGTTCTTCATCGTCATGCCGGGCATGATCAGCCGGGCCCTGTACCCAGGTAAGAGGGTGCTCCCCCGGGGGAATTTTGGACTACAGCAGGGACAGCACACCCCGACTATTAACATACATAGTATGCTGGGCTTTGTGGGCTAAACACCGAATGAGTACTTCAGTGGAAGAAATTGTATCTGAATGCCAGTTATTATTTTTTGAAAAACACCATTTTTTCCCATATAAACAGAGCAACATTTACAAAGTCAAAACTTGGGATCATAGTAAAAGTCAGGACAGACCCCAAGGGTGGCAGAGAAAGACAACCAGTGTGCAAGGTAAGGGGGAGCCGTGAGTGACAAAATGGACGAGATTCTCCTGGTTTTAGTACGTTGGCAAAATACGTTACCATGCCATGCAGCCCTGCTGAAGGGCTCCGGTCCAGTGTGCCCACTCCCTCCGCCAAGAGGAAGATCTTATTTAAAATACATTAGTTAAAATCCTTGCCAGTCCTACCAGAAGTCCCCAAAGAGCAACATCACAGTTTTCTGATACTATTTGATTTTCATTTTAGTTTTAATTTTAAAGAAAACATCCTTTTTTGAAACAAATATTTGCCTTGTTTCTTCCATGCTCAAATGAAAGCCTCCTTTAAACCCTGCTTCCTCTTTACAGGGGAAAGTCCAAAGAAGGCTTTCTAGGTGCTTCCCAGGATAGCTGCCTTTTATCAGCTAGCTGAAGCTTGTCTAAGACCCAGTCATTCCTGTGTCCTCCTGGACGCAGGAGGGGAGACTGTGGCCAGTGTATGGTAGGGAAGTTGACCAGAGACAGCCCCCTGCCCTGGACCCAGCAAGCTCTTCCCTGAGGGTGGAAAGCAAATATCAGTCCAGCCATGGAAACAGATGATGCAGCACCAAAGGTCATCACCCTTCTGCAGATGAGGTGGGCTGTGTGGACCCTGACGTCTGCCAGAGGACCTGCGGGGCCCGCGTGGGCTGCTCCAACATCGCCTACCCCAAGCTGATAATGACTCTCATGCCTGTCGGTGAGTCCCCGTCTCCCCTCAGTGCGGCCTCCCAGCCTCCTCTGTCCTCACTGCACAGAAGCATTAGGGATGGGCCAGGATAGGAAGAGGCAATCAAAGCCTCCTACTCCCCAACACACACACAGACACACACTTGTTCACCAGCATCTGTGAGGTGCTCTACGCCCCGGAGATGCAGGATAAAGGCCCTGGGGCCCCAGGCAGTTTCCAGAGGGCCACAATATGGGGACACAGTGGGACCGAAGGATTCCTAGGGAGGTCCCGATCTGGTTGGGGGCTCTTCGGGAGGTTCCCAGGGGAAACTGAGCTGAGAGTCCTGCCAACAGCCCAAGCAGAGGTGGAGGGATATGGGAAATGCCACCCCAGGGGAGGGGCCGCAGAGGCCCAGGGCTGAGGGGGAGCATGAAGGCTGAGCTGAGAGCAGCCCGGTGTGCAGAACCCCTTCCTGGAGAGAAGCGTGGTCTTTCCTCGAGGGCAGTGGCACCTTAAGGGATTTGTAGTGCAGAAGGGCGCGGCCCCGCTGGGTGTGGGGTACAGGGTGCCTGCCTACTGCCCGTGGTTGCAGGCCTGGTGGGTGGAGATGATGCCTGGACCCATCACTGGGTCTAGTGATCGAGAGATGATATTTGTGAGGGAGAATTAGCCAGATCTGACAACGGGCTGTGTTTGAGGGACAAGAATGTTGGGGCTTCCGGTCCTGGGTTGTAGAAGGTGCATTTACGATATGGAGTCTGCACCCGGAAGGGGAGGCAGGCTTATGGAGGAAGTCAGTGAGCTGGGAGCTATCTCTTCTCTCCGAAAGGATGAGAAATGATCAAATACATTGTGGAGATGGGGTGGGGAGAGACCTAGTGGTGACAGACAGCGACAGGACGGGGCTTGAAGATGGGTGGAGGAGACCAGAGGAAGGTCCGAGAGGCCGGTGTGGAGAGAGGACATTCTGCTCACCCGAGGAAGGGACAGGTGGTCCTGGAGGACGATGGCAGCCTGGATTTGGGACAACTTGAGACTTCTAGGTGGTTCTCCCGGGCTGGCAGACCTTTCTCTAGATGCTGAGTCACCAGAGTTGAGAGACTCCAGCGCTCAGTGGGCCCTACCCTCTATTATTGCGGGTGGAAATAGACCCACACACCGGGGAGCTGGTCCAAAGGTCACACAGCCAATTCCCTGCACCACCAGGAAGCAAATCACCCGGGCTTCTGCTTCCCAGTCGGTGTGTGTCAGCTATTCCACAGTGTCCATGGGCAAGGTACAAGGACACTGGACACACAACTAGCGTTTCAAATGGACGTTTACGTCCTAGTGATACGGGCGCTATATTGATTTGAGGTGGACAACGTCAGGATCTGATATTTATTTGCATTAGTGAAAAGATCAACAGAGTCATCCATCATCAGTTATGAGTTTTCTTCCTTGTCATAAGGACCTCTAAGATCTACTCTGTTAGCAACTGTCAAATGACAATCCAGTGTTGCTGTCCATATCCCCGAGCGGTATGTCATATTCCCAGGAGTTATGTGTCTTATAACTAGAAGTCTGCACCCACTTCCCCTTCACCTCTGACAACCACCAAGCTCTTCGCTCTTTCTAGGAGCTTGAGGGCTCTTGGGTTTGTTGGTTTGCTGGTTTTGGTTTGGTTTACATTCCACACAGAAGATCACAGGCTCCTAGCTTTCCTGTCTTGCATTCCACTTAGCATAACAACACAGAGCTCTGAGGTTCATCTGCCTTGGCTCAGGGCACAAGCTTTCCTTCTTCTGATGGCTGAACCACATTCTACCAGTTGTTCCCAAATCTTAGCCTTTGCGACCTACGCTTCCATGTACACCATGATCCACATAGCTTTTCAAGTTAGCGTGAAGACAATCATTTGGTAACATGAGTTCAGTTGGTAACTGCTCTTCTCTCTACCCATGGACCAGTGATCCATAGGCTTTGAAATTCCAGCTGAGACGTGAAAGCTGTGAGAACATCACAGTTCACGTGGGTGTGCATGCCTCCTTGGGGCAATGGGAGACTGGGCAGGTGGCCCACCCCATGCCACAGAGGCAAAGCATGGGCAGGACTTGGTTTCTAGTTCTCCCAGTTTTCGAATCCCAGCCCAGCCCATCACCACCTTCCCATGAACCCCTGAACCTGCTGGACACTGCCAGCTGCTAGGAGCCAGCCTTGTCTCTCCCCAGGTCTGCGGGGCCTGATGATCGCCGTCATCATGGCCGCCCTCATGAGCTCCCTCACCTCCATCTTCAACAGCAGCAGCACCCTGTTCACCATCGACGTGTGGCAGCGCTTCCGCAGGAAGGCGACAGAGCAGGAGCTGATGGTGGTGGGCAGGTGCACTGGCCCCCTCCCGTCCCCCTCCAGGGATAGCCCGCTCCCTGCCCTCCCAGTGCTGGCTTCTCGGGGAGACTCAGCTCTCCCGGCAGGCAGGCAGGCAGGCAGGCAGGCAGAGAAACTGGTTCCAGCAGACCTTTCTTCTGAACCTCAGTTAAGAAAGGGTCCCCAACTCGGGACCCTGCCTCCCCCTCCAGAGTAAGGAGAAAAATGCTCTTCCCGGTCTATTGAGCTTTCGCTTGGAACTGAACAACGCGGTGTAGTGAGAGATGTCGCGGAAGGTGTACCCGTGGGAGGGAGCTTTCCCACCAGCTCTGGCTGACCCCCCAGTACAACAGAAGGTCCCTCGGACTCAATCTGCGCACCGACCCACAGGAAGCCTTTGCTCTGGGTAGCAGAGCACAGGGACCCTTATATGGTCCTGCACCTTTAATGAGAAAGGCAGAAGCGCAGGTCAACCAGTGAGGCACCCACATGGCTGGAGGTGTTCATAGGAAGACTGTCTTCCAGTGAGGCAGAGCCTTGAACACCAGGCTAAAGAATTTGAATCTTATCTCTTAGGTTTGTTTGACAGAGTTCAAAATAGCACTTTGATTAAGGGCTTATTTCATCATCAGTAGTCTTTGGACGCCATCTGCTGGCCCTCTTCACTATTGCACCCAATGCGTCCAAGAAAAGTTTTTCATCAATACACCTGCAAAAATCACCCAGAAAAGTATACTTTGGGGACTTGGACCTGAGGCAGGATCAGATAAGGGGCAGCCAGGAGAAGAATGTGGAGCTCCTGTTGTGCGCTGGCAGCCAGTGAAAGGAGGGCGAGAGTGGAAGGAGCCTAGAGAAGGGAGAATTTCCTAGACAGAGTCCCCGGGGAGAAAGGGGCTGCACAGGGGCTCCCGCAAAGACCCAAGGCCACTTACCAAGGTGGGAAAGGTGCGCCCTTCTCCCTGAATAGCCGGCGGGATGCATGACCTCAAATAATTATAAAAGTATGAATTTCTGGAATTCTGACTTTCCAGGATTAGAATGTCCAAATCTATGGAATCTCAGCATTTGGGTTACTTGGGTTAAAAGCTGCTCTGGCTCAGCCGCCACACATTCAGGCCCTTCCTGGCTCCTGTGCCTCGCTTGCTGTGCCCACGCTGGCCCTCCGGACTCCTCACGGCGTCTTGTGCCCTCCCTGCAGAGTGTTCATCGTGCTCCTGGTCATCGTCAGCATCCTCTGGATCCCCATCATCCAGAGCTCCAACAGCGGGCAGCTCTTCGACTACATCCAGTCTATCACCAGTTACCTGGCCCCGCCCATCACCGCCCTCTTCCTGCTCGCCATCTTCTGCACGAGGGTCACAGAGCCTGTGAGTGCAGCCACCCACCTGCCCCCAGCATGCCAGGGGGTCGAGGGCTCTTCTGTCTATGGCCTGGTCTTTCTCTGTGGTTTTGGGGAAACAAACTGCCCCCCTGGAGGCTTCTATCTCCCTATCCATAGACCTTATCTACCGTCATTCAGTCAACAAATATTTATCAGTCCTCTAGGGAGGCTCATGGATGCTGCTCAAACCAATTCCAGCTGGCTCCAGTTATTTCCAACCAGCTCCAACCAGTTCTGTCCACCTTAAACTGGTTTGGTCAGGCTTAAACCACATCTAACTAGATCAGGCCATTGCAAACTGGTTCTGATGGGTTCAAACCATTGCTAAGCACATCAGACTGGTTCAAATCAACCCTGACAGAATCAAACCAGTTCAGACCAGATCACATTGGTTTTGACTCATTCAAACCTGGTCAGCGTGTTTCTGTTTTAAACCCATTGTGTTGATACAGCCACTTCAAAGACAGAGTTCTAAGTGTTTCAAACCAGTTAGAACTGCTTGCACCTGGCTCAGCACTGATGAACCTCACAAAGATAGATTTGCAAACACAGTGACACATTTGGGCATAGTGTGACTGGAAGCTTCCTGGGGCCTCTGCCCTGGCTCTCACTCTGCTCCCGCTTGCCCTCTGTCCACAGGGAGCCTTCTGGGGCCTCCTGTTTGGCCTGGCAGTAGGGCTGGTGCGCATGGTCTTGGAGTTCTCATACCCAGCCCCTGCCTGTGGGGAGGTGGATCACAGGCCAGCTGTGCTGAAGGACGTCCACTACCTCTACTTTGCGCTCCTCCTCTGTGGACTCACTGCTCTCGTCATCATCCTGGTCAGCCTCTGTACAGCCCCCATCCCTAAGGAAAAGGTAAGTGGAGTGCCCCTGTCAAGGCCTCCAATGATCCCAACCCCACGGGATTCCACCATTGAGTTTTACCCTGGGGTTACGATCACCCTGTTGCCATACCCTGTCCTGGAAAGGGAGAGCTTGCTGGGTTGTTCATGCTCAGGTGAATAGTAACTCATTTGGAAAGTGACTCAGTGAGCACCTGCTGTGTGTCTGACACTGTTTGGGGCAGCCAAGACCAACCGTCCCACCGGCAACTGTCCACATGGCTGGGAACAGACACTGACACTCAGTTATTTCGCCAAGAACAAGTGCAGGGCGAGGGTCATAGGAGAGGCGCTGAGCACAGAAGAGAGGCGGTCACCCTGGGAGTTGGGGGGCCACTTGACCAGGCTACTTCCAGATGGGTCCTGGAGAATGAGGAGGGGCTAGAAACAGAGCCTGCCAGTGAGGAGGCGCTTTGAACTCCTCCCTTCTCTCAGTTGGTGGACATCCCAGCCCCTAGCATGGAAATCCGGTCTTTTCCAGCCTTTTTTCTTTAGAGCAGGTACTAGTTTGTGGTCATCACAAAGACGACAGGCAGGTGGCTTAAATGGACACAGGAAGTCTGAGACCTGGCTGTCAGCAGGGTGGTCTCATAGGGCCCTCACCTGGCAGTGTCTGTCTTCTCTCATCCTCACGGGTCCTCCGCCCCGCCCGCCTCTCCTCACCAGTCCCCAGTCCCACCAGGTAAGGGCCGCACCAGTGACCTCTGTTAGTCCAGGATTTCTATCTTCTGTTCCGTGGGGCCCAGCTCTGACCTGTGATGGCTCAGCCATACTTGCCTGCACTGTTTTACCCACGCCCATGCCCTCAGCAACCCTTTCTGGGAAGATGAAGCTCCAGTCTCATTTCCAGCCAGATCCCTTCTTCCAAGATTCAACCACACACTCCACTGTCTCCTCACCACTGAGATAGGTTTATGAGCAAAGAGACAGTGGAGGTTCTACAAAACCTGTTGCGAGACATGGTTTCACACATGTGGACAGTGTCCAGGGACCGGCCCCTGCACCTCAGAGGGAGGTCTTTGCAGAAGCCAGCACAGGCACTGCATGGCTGCTTCAGCTCCTGACACAGAGCTGCCTAGATGGGTGGGCAAAGAGCCTGGCTGGAAGGGGACAGTTGAGGGCTCAGGTAGTCATGGCTTGTCTGGCTGACCTTAGCCAGAGAAGCTGCTGAAGGACAGGGAAGCCCTGGGGCTTCGCCCTTACCTGATACTTCCCCCACCCCCACCCCAGGTCCTGGACTCTCCAAATTCTCCAAGGTCATCACCATATTTGTGCAAGTGAATGAGCCCTCTCTCTCCCCTCCCCTGCTCACCATTCTCTCCCCCCTTCTCCCTCACCCCTACTCTCCCCTCCACCACAGAGCCCACTCCTCCAGCCCTCCCCTCTGTCTGGGGGTGGGGGGCACTCCTTCCTGTCAAGCCAGGAGGTGAGCTGCAATTAACTGCTTCCCTCCCACCCCAGCCTGGTGCATCCAGCTAGCTCCTGTGGCTCAGTCCTCACTCTTGCTGCCCACCGGAGACTGCTGCCTCGCATGCATCACCCCCGCTGCTCCTTCTTCCCTCCCTTTTGCAGCAGCCTGTGGGCCGCATGCCCTCTGGTAGTCAGAGAGAGCTTTCGAAACTTGTCTCCTATCTCGTCCCCTTTGCCTGAAGTTGCAGTGATTCTCCTCTGCCTGCAAGTTGTTGCTGCTTTTATTTTTTTTTTTAATGGAAGATAATGATTACAAGCCAGTTTTTTTAAAGGTTTATTTATTTGTGCATACAGAACTGGGGTACAGACCAGAGGTGCAAGGGGGTGAGAGACTTCACCAGAGACAGAGGGGGAGCAGAACAGGCAGATCGATGAAGTACACTGCTGAGGAGAGCAGGATCAGGACTCTCCAAAAGCTGCTGAGCAAAGACAGTGTTTTCTTTACCTACAGCTCGCTCGCCTGACATGGTGGACACGGAACTGGCCTCGCTCTGAGCTGGAGAAGGAGGCCCCTGAGCAGACACCAGGGGTATCAGAGGCGCCTTCTGGGGAGCCCCCTACAGGAGGCACAGTGGCAGCGAACCCTGAGCAGCCGAGAGGTAGGTAGAGGGCCCCGGCAGAGGGCAAAAGGCATAACTTTTGTGACATGAGGTCACTGTAATCCTGCAGTGTGATTAAATAACATTACAATAATCTGATGTAATGACATCATAGGTTTCACAAATGATACAGCCCCAAGGAAAAATTAAAGCTAAAAGCGTATAGCCATTCGCAAGTTAAAAACCAAATTCCATTTCTTGCCCTCAAGTGTTCGAATAAATGAATTTTCAGTGCGAGGTGAGGTGTACATCCTGCCCGCTAGAGGGCGCCCCGTGCCAGCTGGAGGAGGGGGCCTTCAGCCTGGCTGTGGCCCAGGGGCCTGTCAGCTGTGCCAGAGCTTCAGAAAGTGTCTTAGCTCCACGCCAGTCTCTGCTTCGCCTGACTCTCAGTAGTCCCTGGTGATTGCCAGAGTGGTTATAGTGACGCACTGGTGCTGGGCCCACAGGGCTGTGCCAACGCACCCAGAGCTTCCCCAGGGGTCAAGAGCCCTGAACATCCCTCAGGCCTGAGCGTCCCTCAGGCCTGAGCAGCCCTTCATTTCTTGATGTCCTGGCTCTAGAAAAACAGCCTCTTCCTAGAGTCCACGACATTATAACGCCAGAAATCCACCAACATCTAAGACTCTCAGCGTCTTGCCCAGCTACAGCATCTTAAATGCAGAAGTCGACTAAAAGTAGGGCATAGAATCCTTCATAACTTCCAAGGCCAAAACCCACAGAGACTCAGGTCAGAAAGCACCAACCACCTGTGCACTCCCAAGTGCAAAGACCTCCCTGGTCTAATCTGCCACCTTCCTGAGTGCAAGCACCTCTCGGTCGATAGTAACTTCTCTCTTTTTCAAGCTTTGTGGCCCAAGAGTTGTGCTCTCAAAACAAAAGGCCTTCTCCCAAATCAGAGCAGGGACAGGGTCTTGGCTCCTAACAAACTTAGGACACAGAAGAAGCGATCTGAGCACATATGCTTTTTACAAGTAGCTCCTGAGAAAGGGCCATTTGAAAGCGTGTTGGCTCAGTGACCCCTGAGGAGGGGGAAGAGCACAGCTTGTGCTCTCTCACAGCTGAGCCCCAGAAACAAACCCACAGGGCGGCTCTTGGTAGCCCCACCCACCTGGGTCCCCACTAGGGGGCAGAGTCTGTCCCTGGAGGAGCAGAGAAACCGCTGCCCTCTCCCTCAGACAACCCTCCCCTCCTCCTCCCTCACAGATAGGTAAGATCCCCTTCCCTGAGGGACAGGGAAGAAGCACCTTCTCACCAGACCTGTGGGCAGATGGAACCTGTTTGCAGGTTATAGAGCACAGTGGCAGCATCCTTTTAAGTCCTAAAAATAGGAAGTTAAAAAAGTTAAGACAGCTGAGTGGACCTGACAGACGTTTACACATCCCGGTTCTAGATAGGCTTAGAGTGGCTGCACTACAGAAGTGAGTCCACAGACAGCATGTGGCGACTTGTAAAGTGACCGTGTCTCCTACAGTCCACGTGTGACCTTTGAGGACTGTGGGTGCAGGTTGAGGCCCCTTAGCCTTCGCTTCTCCCTTTCTCATAGCCTTTTCTCTCCCCCCTCATGTGGGAGCCAGCCTGGATGGTCCTGGGGCCTCCATCTCTGCCTCTGCCTCGCACTGAACTTACCAAGTACCTCCAAAGGCATTACCATAACAAAGCAGCATTCCTGATGGGTTCTATTCTGCCTAATGCAAATGCTTTAATTTCTACCTCAAAAAAACCCTTTAAAATAGTTGGTTTCTTTATTACTTCGTTTGAACTTAATTTGTTATTTTAAAAATTGTGCTACTTGTCAACCTCAGCACCATCACCTGCATGTTTAGAACCCTGCTTTCACGAGAACCTCTCCCAACAGCACCTGTGTTGGTGACCTTATAAAGTGCGGTCAATTCTCCATTCTCCTGTGAGGCTCAAAACAACCACACGTGCCACTGACCTCTTTGGGAGAGAGCCTGCTGCTCAGAGAGGCTGAGTGAGAGAGACGTGCACACGGCCTTGGGCAGGGCCTGGCAGGAGAGCTCTAGAATGGGCCTCTGCCTCCAGCCCGGGGCCCTTCCCACAGTGAGGCAGAGGTCTGCCCGCTCCACTGCTCCCTTGTCCCAGGGTGAGCTCATGCAGGGTGTGCACCCGTTACACACCACACCCCCTGCCACCCTGGAAGCTTCATGTGATGATGGTTCGGGGCTATGCTCAACATCAGAGCTGGTCCCAAGCCAGCACAGCCTGTGGCTTGCAGAAAGGCCGTGTCCCGTCCACTTACCCTTTTTTTCTGCATTCCATTCCTGTCTTTGGTTTCTCCCCGCTGTGCCCTTCTTTCCTCTCTCATGGCTGCCCTTTCCTTCTCTCCTGCTTTTGTCTACCAGCCCCACACAGGTCCTGGAAGAAGCTGCTCTGGGGCTGGTTCTGCGGGATCTCCGGGGCCCCGGAGCCGGTGCTGAGCCCAGCAGAGAAGGCCGCGCTCCAGCAGAAGCTGACCAGCATCGAAGAGCAGCCGCTCTGGAGGACTGTGTGCAACCTCAATGCCCTCCTCCTGCTGGCCATCAACATCTTCCTCTGGGGCTACTTCGCGTGACTCCGCAGACCCGGGTGGGTCAGACAGGGTCCACACCCCTCGCTCCACCAGCCACAGAGACACCTGGCCATTCAGACCGGAGAGCGCAGAAGCTGAGCCTGCAGGAGCCTCCAGAGAGCAGCTAAGATAGCGTCGTGCTGGACGAGCAGAGATGGGGAGGCTGGGGTGAGCACGGCTTGCTTAGTCACAGCCAGGCCCTCGCGGGGTCTTGGGACCCCAGCGCTCTTCCCATTACATTCCTACCTCAAACACAAGGAGTCAAATCTCCTCTTGTCAAATCTCCATGGGAGATTTTACTCTGTGTCTTGTGTTTAAAAAAAAGGGTGAGATATAAGAAAGTCAGTGGCAAGAACATTGAAACATCCATGTCGTCTTTGCTCACCCTTATCCCCTCTTCCTCCTCCTCCCCTTCCTTTCTGATTCCAGCCCCAGTCATCTATTTATAGCAGAACCATGCCTGGTGTGTGGAGGGGGGTGGGGGTTCGCTCACGCTTCCATAGGTGGCTGCATGATGGCTGTCAGGCCCGAAGGAGTAAAGGACCAGGGTGGTCACAGTATGGTGACAGCTGGCCTCTGGGGACAAGGCAAAGGAGTCCCCTGGGGGGACTCCTTTTCTACTCTCACATCCTCACATGTGCAAAATCTGCATGCCTTGGGGTACTCAGAGTCCAGTTGGAGAGGTACAACTTGCTGAAAACAAGAAGGTTGCCCTGTGCTTATGGGTCAGTCCCGAGAGGGCCACACAGACAGCCCCGGTCACGGCAACAGGGTCTGTGCCCCTCCCCGTGGCTGGCCAGGCACCCGTCTTACCCAGAGAATCACGGTGCTTCGCTGCTCCTCCTCCAGAAAGCGGTCTTGGTGCCCACAACGGGTCAAGATCTGTCTGTTCCCCTGCCCTAGACTCATAGTCCTGACGGCGAAATGGTGCTGTCTGTCTCCTACCAGCACGAGGACTCCAAGCGGTGCAGACTGGGGGTCATGTTCCAAGTGATCTGCACCTTCGAGAAACAGGGGTTCATTAAATGTTGGATCAAGCCACTGTCCAAAGTCCCAGTAGCTTTGCATGGGGTAGTTGGGTAGTGTGACAAGGAAGAATTATGACTTTGTTCACTGAGACCCAGTGGTGTTCCACGCTAACTGGGCACTTGAGCATTTCTTACCTGGGTTATTGCAAGTCTCCTGACTGTTCTCAGCCTTCCCTTCTCCAGTTTACCTTGTGGTCTAGATCAAGGGTGATGTTTGTAAAATGCAAACCTGTGTCATCTTCTTGTTTAAGATTCTCTAAGACAGTATTTCATAAGCTGGCATAAGACCCTACAAAAACTGCTAGAAACACCACCCGGATTCAGTCTGTGGGTCCTGTCTCTCAGACGCTGATCAATGCCACGGCTAAGATCAGGCACTTGGAAGCCTCCCAGCTCTGTCATTTGCTGACTGCATGGTACTGAGAAAGTTGCTTCACCTTTCTCTGTTTCCATTCTACAAAATGAAGATGGTAATTGCAGCTACTTTGTCGAGTTGTTAAGAGGATTAAATGCTTTCATTCACTTAAAGTATTTAAGACAGTGCCTGGCACATAATTAAAGTCATAATTAAGCATGAACATTAGCTGTTACTCTGCATCAGTAGGAGACGAGGGGCCCACCGGAGCCTGACACCACACAGTCCTGTTATTTCAGAGAGCTCAGAGCTCTGAACAAAAGGAGGGGCGGCGGCCAAGGGATTCCTCCTGAGCAACCAATGGAAAAGTGCATCTTACATTGGACTTTGGAGGATGAATAGGCGTTTTCTAGAAGTCCTACAAGGTAAAGGGACAGCCTTTGTAAAGTTGGTGAGGTGTACAAGGACATGCAGGATATCTGCAAAATGGATAATGTTTAGTCCTTTGCAGATATCTATGCAAACAAGCTTTGTTTCAGCCTTTTGCCCCAAAGCAGAACTGTGAGGTTTACTTAAGCCGCAGTGGAGAGATGAGCATTCCAGCACCTCAGCAGAGCAACCTCTGCTCTGTTTGCTGGGTGACTTCCCACAACTCTCTGCTGAGGGCTTTCTCAGGCTGCAGAAAAATGCTTGTCCCTACATAGAACATGCTAGAATTAAACTCTTGGCTGCAGCCCTCACCAATCCTCACCAATGACAAATGAGCTGCTGGATAAACACAGAAGGCTCCTTGGCCTTCTGTGGAACGCCGGGGGGCTTGCTCTATCTACACCATCTCGGGAGGTGCTTGTGGGGGGGCTGAGCCCCAGGAGTGCCTAGAGTTAACCTGCTCACCCACACACCTGAAGAAAGGCCTCACTGTCCTCTGCCCCAGGCTCCTGCTGGCAGTTCCTAAGATGGCTTCCCAAAGAAGCAGCTTGCTGCTGCTCTCAGGACTGTTTCTGGGGACACCAAACCAAGATTTCATCTAAATTAATTTGCACCTTTGCCTCCTCCTCTTAAGATTTGCAGCTCCTTGTCTCCTAACTTAATTTTGCTGCTGTCTCCTAATTTTGTGAACCTGAGACTTGGCAGCCAGGGGCACTAAAGCTGGCAAAGGACAGTGCCCAAGTAGTTTACTGGTCACTGTCTGAGTTCTTCACTCGCACACACAATGGCAAGACTACACAGGTTCAGAGAACAACCATAATGGGATTTATTTCACAAACAAGAGAAAACAAAGTCCTAAACACAAAGGCTCCCAAGATGCCATCTTACCACCACAGAGGACTGGAGCATAGACAGCCAGACTACAGACTGGGGTGCAACTCAGGCAGGCAGCAGATGCCATAACGGGATGCTCGTGGAACTGCCACGATGCCCCAATGCCAGCACCAGACCATCAACACTCAGCACCCGAAAGACTCAACAAGTGGCCACATTCATACAGCTCAGTGTGGCACGCAGTGACTCGAAGTCTTCCCCTTTTCCTTCTAGGCTGTAACAGCAGCAAAACTGGGGATCATTGCAGTTGCTTAGTCTTGCAAAGTCCCCAAACTTATCTCTCAGACTGGGTGCTGGAAGCCTCTCTGTGTCCTTTAGAGGCCCCCAACAACCTTCTGGAAGGTCGGTGGGGTAGGACAGAAATGGCTGAGTCCTGAATTGCTGAAGATAAAAAGAAATCTACCTGCTGCAATCCCAAATGCTGAATCTCAAACACTGAAACCTGAACATGGGTGGTGGGAGGAAAGGTTGCTTCTGCAGTCCCTTATATTTCTTATCAGAGTCCACACCCTCACTGTGTTCTCATTTTCCCCTGGGGCGCTCTGTCCTCACAGAGCCCACCAGGGGGCGCCACCTGTAACAGTCTTTGACTCCAGTCAATGGTTACTGTAGATCCCTCTTCATCCTTAATAAGAGGAGGCGGCAAAGGTTTGAATTAGTTTAGATGAAATCTAGGGCAGGAGTCTTCTAAGGCTGATAAGGTGTACTGCAGATTCAATGCCACAATTGTCTCCTTGGGGCAGGGTGTTGTGGGTGATAGTGGAGACCACACCAGTGAGCAAGTCAGTGCCAGCACACTTGAGTGGAAACAGTGCAAATAGAAAAGCAGTGAAAAGTAGTTTTTGGAGAACTGAAATGGGTTTGCCATGAACAATAACAGCATTAAGAAGTAGCTTTGGACTCTGAAAGGATGATGTTTAAGAACAAATAGAGCTCTAAAAAAATATCATGAAGAAATGCTCTTGACGGCTGATTTGCAATTGAGCTAGGCCACAAAAGCTTTTAATTTAATATGTGAAACTTGTAACTGTGTCCCTAGGTGTGAGAGTTTACATCACTCAGAAGAAAGTGAAAGGGCTTGGAGCCCAGACAAAACAGTGTCAGTTTTCCATTAACCTAGAACTGGTGTCTCTAGACTTCCAGCCCTAAGTGAGATGACTGCAATTTCCTTTTTTCTCCAGGGTGAAAAATTGGGCGAACTTTAAAGGTTACATATAAATATAAATCCTAGAGACTTAAATTAAGGTAGTTACAGTTTACCTTCATATTTCAAAGTCAAATCTTAGCTTTGGCCCAGACTCAAAGTAAAAATGTCATATTTTTTACTGTGATCTTACATAAAACCTACATCTATCATTTAAAGAGGAAAGGAAACAAACAAGCAAACAGCCTTTATACCTTACCCCCTGATTAGCATGCAAAAGCTTTGTTCCATCTCTCATCAGGGTTTGTATGTAAATGTTAGAGTGATACACAAGCAGAATGGGAAGGGACCGAGAAGCCCCTGGTGAGTCTCCTTTTGCTCCACAGCCCAGGTAAGAATTTCAGCCTCCCTGACAAGAATGGTCCACAGTCCTCAGTCTCTGCGCGCACACCCCTGCAGTAGAGAGCAGGCAACCTGCACTCATCATTGTATTGTACTGACATGAGACATTAGAAAGTTTCTTCTGCTACCTGGATTCTGCATCCTTGCATTTTCAACCATTTGTGCAAACTAAACAGCATAAAAAATATATCAATCGCTCACTCCAAAAAGTACATCTTCATAAGACGGATAACTTAGCGTCTTATTTTACGGTTATTTTATGGGGACTTCCTCATCAATCATCTCATTTGGTTCCTAATTCTGCTGTTGGAGGATGAGTTACTTACGAATGAGGAAGCCAACTCAGAGAGGTGAAGAGAACCGTCCAGGGTTGCTATTCAGAAGTTGAGATGATTGTTGAACCCAGAATTCTGACTCCACCTTTAGGTCTCTCCCCATTGCACATTCCTGTGGACAAAATCCTTTGGGAATGCTGTTCATTTCTGCACATGGAGTAAATAAGCAGAAAATCTAGTCAACACAGAGGTCAGCAAGTAAAGGCAGACAAGTAAGCAAGTTATTGTAGTAGTTGCAAGAAAAGCTAAAATCATAAGTAGAAATAAAATACATTGGGAAAACAGAAAAAGAACAGTTATCTGGGTGAGTTGGGGAGGGCTTCACAGATACAACATTTAACTCGGATGTTGCAGAGCGAGTCAAGTTTTCTGTTTGGAAAAATGTAATGGATCCTATTCCAGGTAGAAGAAACAGCGCGGAGCAAGGCGAGGA